TGAACAAATAGTCTGAGTATATAAAGCATGTTAATATTCAGAATTGTGCACATGTATTTGGACCTGCATTCCGAAGTCAGAAGTTGGGAACATTCCAAATATTGTTAAATAGTAACTTCCTCTGGCCAGAACTAGCACACTTAAGGGTAATGTGTGATGAAATTCCACAGCTTCTAGAAGGCCACATGCTCTGCTTAATGTAAGTGTGAAAATACATTTACATCAAGAGTAACTGTATGCATATTGTTCAAAAGTGAAGCAGCTTATAGGAGCTAGCTACAACTAAGTAAATCTCCCTGTAGGGGAGGGTAGGCTTGTATTAGAACAGTAGTTCTCAACTTGTGGTCTGTGGACCACCATTGGTCCACAAGAACAAAAATATAGTCTGTGGCCTCACTATTACTACACCGTTGCCTCAAAATGATGCAGCAACAAGAGTGAATGGTCTTGCAAAACCCTCTTATAGCATCAAGGCAACGGGGATATTGGGAAGGGAGAAACTGACTTCCCATGAAAAATTACTACTATATCAGCTCTAGATTATTAAATATAGTTTTCTGTGTGCAAGTAGATGGTGACTCTTGGATGGCATATGTTCTGTATCAGAAAGTAGAGCTGGTGTGGTCTATCCAATGCAATTTTCTGAATTAATGCCCCAAATATCCAAACTGAATCTAAAGTTGATCAAAAAGTGATTTGTAACCCTCCTGGTACAAATGCTGGAGAGTGGTCCCTGGTCAAAGTGGTCCCTGGTCAAGTGGTCCCTGGTCAAAAAAAGGTTGGGAACCACTGTATTAGAAATTATGTGTGCGTGCATCAAAATGCTTTCAAGTAGCCTATCAATTTATGGCAGCTTAGCCAAGAAATGCCCAGAGGTGGCTTTCTAAATTCTTTCCTTTGCAATATTTGTTGACAGGCTCAGGACTCACCCAAGACATTTTGAATAGCACCACTACCATTTCATATACAGAAGCAAAAAGGCCACCAGACAAACCTTACTTCAGCATTGGTATGAGGGTAATGGGACAGTTTCTACCACCACTACAACTAAGGACAGGGGTCTACTTTGGGAAGATGAGTTAAAACAACATAATCATCCTCCAACATCTCAAAGATCCATCTCCCAATATCTCATACATGCAACGTATCCTTAACATCTACTGTCTGAGACCATTGTCACACTCTACTGATGATAGGATCTCCTTATTAATAAAAAATTGCACTTGGCCCTTTTTCCATCCAAAGTTGTACAGTCCAAAATTCTCAATCTATTTCCAGTATTAACCCTGTATAATGGATGGCCCATAGAAACAGACTGTTCCTATCTAATAACATTTACGTCACTGAAGAAGAGAGACTCTGTCTAACATTCCTATCCAATAGTGCTGACTTGTGGACATGTTGTTGCCAATTTAGCATGCTGCCTGAAGCTTGGCAGGCTATCCAGAATGCTTTCACTCTGTCCATTTGTATCGCCACTATCTCATTTGTACTGGGACAAAGCCAGTTGGCCTTGCTCCAGCACCCGATCATCATCAGGCAAGCCAATGACACTGTCTGGCTCCAATATAAAGTAGACGAGTGCTGAACATGCTCTCTTTATTGGTGTCATTGTAAGTAGGGCAGGTAATGCATGGCATCATAATTTTTCTCTCAAGCATCTAATTTATAGAAACAAAGCCAGGTTCTTGTGAATTCCACAGACCAAATTTTTTGGGTGTATGTTCAATTGTCCTCTGTCATCTCCTGTCAACCTCTGGCTTGTAGGCAGACATTGAGGACAATTCTGTGCTCTTTTCTTCCATTTCAAGACACACTGCACATAATGTAAAGGAAGATGTGGCTAATTCATACAATACACTGGAAAAGTGAAGCTTCGGGGTATATTTTCTGGTGGACACATGTAATATGTTGACTGTAGATCACAAATAATAATCAGAAATTCTACTGATCAGAGCACCTTGAGAAAGACTGTTGAGTTATCTGGAATTGCTGCTGACTATACCTGTTCTCTGACCACTCTCAAGTTATAATTTTATGCAAAAGTGCTTGGTAAAAAGATATAGTTTGCATGCATATGGAGGTGAATATGTATAGCATGTTTTTGCACTCAGCTAGATCTAAATCCAAGGAATGTTGTGGGAAGTAGATGCTTCATCCCATTTATTTAATTGGTATTTCAGTATATTCATATTATTGGGAAGAGGGTAATTTAATCCCATATGCATCATTGAATTACAACTCCCAAAACTCCTAGCCACTCCTAGGGACTGCTATGTGTTGCAGTCCAACAGCCTCTAAAGGACTATGGTTACTATTGCTTCTCTAAATTGTCCTCAAAATGTTAAATCCAAGTCATACTAGGGGCAGATCCAATAAAATCCACGAGATTTATGTTACTTAGATTGGTAATTCACTGAATCCAGCAAGTCTTCCATCAACTCTAGACATCAGCATGGCTGAAAGTCAGAAACTAAAGGAATTGTAATCTTAGAGGGCCTCAGTAGTTATATAGTTCTATTCTAGAACTATATAACTACTCTTTAGCTCATAAGCCTATGCTTATGAGAACCAGTTATGTTGTCATTAGTCATTGAGTCATCATGTTACTTCAAAATAGCAATTCCCTATCCAAATCTGAACTCCTGTCTTTAAAACACTGGGTAGAATCCAAGTTATCAATGCTGCAGTCTCTTGAAGTCAATGACAAATGAGTTATGACTAATATAATTCCAGTTAATTGCAGTAGATCTGTATGTGTGCCTTCAAACTACCCCTCGGCATGGCAACTGCACAACTTTCATAGTGCTTTCTTGGGAAAAGAATACTGATTTGTTATTTTGTCAGTTTCTTCTTTTGAAATATACTCTACAATACTTGGTATTCCTTGATTGTCTCCCATACATGTATTAACCAGCTCTGACCCTACTTAGCCTTCATGATCAGATGGGATCTGATGCAATGAGACTGAAGCCTAATGACCTTCATCTGGATCCAACTCTCATCAATCTGTTAAAGCATGGATATAATACTAGAAATAATGTAGCATACTATTTGCAGAGGCAGAAAATGTAGTTGTTGGTAGGTCATGAAGGCTTATGAGGAAACAAACCATATTGGATTCAATTACTCTCCTACAGCACATGCCCAATTTTACAGTAGCTGTGGAGCCTTTCTCTGTGCATCTTCAGATAATGTAACCTTCCCATTCCTTTGAATGTATACTACACTGAACCAGATCCTTGCTTCATCTACTTCAGTATTATCTACACAGCTTTCTTTATCTAGCACCCTCCATGCTGTTACAGCCATGCTAGCTCAGGCTGACAAATATTTGTTGCATTTCAATGTATCTTCAGAGATATCAAACTGGATAAGACCAGTCTATGTTGAGGAACTTCAACTCTCCAAAGCCTTGGGCACTAGTCTTTCCCAGTGCTTCTTTTAGAAAACGGAGACTCAACCAGGAACCTTTAACATACAAAGCATGTGCTCCATGAGTGAGCTACATGCTTTCCCAGGAGATCAAAGGCCTGAAGGATACTACCAATATAGGTATAAATGCTTTATGTGAAAGGAATTTTGTTAAGGTGATAGGTCTGTAAATGTAAGGAATTTAACTGACTGATTCCAAGAATGTTGACTCACAAATTATTTTCCTGGAGCTGTATTTGTTTCCTAGTAAACATGTGTAGGGTTTACAGCCTCAATGAAATAGCAGACCAGAGAGACACCACCTCAGATTCCACATGCAGAGGAATTTTTCACAAATCTCATATTATTGGAGCAGATTTTAATCCATGCAGATTTAAGAGATGGGGAATATCTTTCCCAGTGAGGTTCTTAACAGAATTCAAAATGATCTTAACAGATTAGCAAGATGGGCCAAAACTAACAAAATGAAGCTCAACAGTGACAAACGCAAGATACTCCTCTTAGGCAGAAAAAATGAAATGCAAAGATACAAAATGGGGGCGCATGGCTCAAGAGCAGTACGTGTGAAAAAGATCTTGGCGTCCTCGTGGAAAACAAGTTAAACATGAGCCAACAATGTGATGTGGTGGCAAAAAAAAGCCAAGGGGATTTTGGCCTGCATCATTAGCAGCATAGTGTCTAGATCCAGGGAAGTCATGCTATCCTTCTATTCTGCCTTGATTAGACCACACCTGGAATACTGTGACCAATTCTGGGCACCACAACTGAAGAGAGATCTTGACAAGCTGAAATGTGTCCAGAGGAGGGCAACTAAAATGATCAAGGGTTTGGAGAACAAGCCCTATGAGGAGCGGCTTAAAGAGCTGGGCATGTTTAGCCTGAAGAAGAGAAGACTGAGAGGAGACATGATAGTCATGTATAAGTATGTGAGAGGAAGGCATAGGGAGGAGGGAGCAAGCTTGTTTTCTGCTGCCCTGGAAACTAGGACCCAGAACAACGGCTTCAAACTACAAGAAAGGAGATTCCATATGAACATTAGGAAGAACTTCCTGACTGTGAGAGCGGTTCAGCAGTGGAACTCTCTGCCCCAGAGTGTGGTGGAGGCTCCTTCTTTGGAGGATTTTAAACAGAGGCTGGATGGCCATTTGTCAGGGGTAGTTTGAATGTAATTTTCCTGCTTCTTGGCAGGGGGTTAGACTGGATGGCCCATGAGGTCTCTTCCAACTCTATGATTCTATGATTCTATATAACTAATTAAAATGGTAAAACAAGAGTATATTTTGAAAGTGGTTGTCAGAATTGTTTCCTTTCTTATCTCACATAACAAATGATTGCAATGACATCAAAAGGCTGGTAACCTCTTCCTTTTTTTAACATAGGATTTTGTAAATTTATCATGTATATCTCACACAGAAACCACTGAATAATAATAATCTATAGTCTAAATCACAGAGAAGTCAGGGGCAAAAGAGAAGCTGTTTCCTTCCAACTCATTCAATCACATGTACATTTGACAGATACTGCCTAAAAGAATAACAATGGAACATACGATTAGAAGTATAGCTTTTATTCCCTTTTTAATGTGCATGTTTAATTCAGTACACATACAGGAGGCGATCTCATAAGTTGTAAAGCAACCAAGGCATTTTCTTGTTTAAGGCACAGACATAAAAAGAGATGATCATCTCATCATAATGATATTAAAGGAATGCTATTCCATTCATAGTGTTTAGGGATGTCCTGCCCCTTTTCATTTTGCACCTTTAATGTGACTTTGGAGTAAATCTTGGCACCATAAATGATTTCTGGTGGGATAAAGGCTTGTGCTGTCTTCATCATCCAGTAAAAAATAAACTCTGTAATAAATAAATATTTAAAATAAATATATGTACTTTGAATGTATATAAATTAGGTCCATCCCGAATGGGAAAAACAAATCCAGATTTCATTTCAACGTTCAAACAAGTTCACGTCACCTCATGTAGAAGATCTGCATGGGTGATCTTGTTTTTTTCTCACTAGCTTGCCATTGATTCTTTGTCCCGGCAAGTTATCTGTTTCTACAGTCCATCTCCACATATTTTAGGTAGTTGTTCCAGCTTCCGGAAAAAGTAATCCAAACCAGTTTGGTCTGAACCCTGTTCCATCTTCTCTTGTCTACTAGTCCAACACAAGATAGAATAAACCTAAAAGTCATCAGTCCTCTTGGTTTTCCATTCATTCTCCTAAATCCAGACTTTAGACAATGGAAACTTGTCTACCACTAAACAGATCTTCTGACCTTCTAGCTTCCCAGACCTCGGGAGTTCCTCAGCATTCAGAGGTTCTTCCTGCTTTTGATATTGTCGAGGCACGGATTCTATTCCACATCTATTTTTCAGTTTCAGGTGAAAACTAACACATCCTTGTAAAGTTCAGGCACTCTCTCAGGGTCCACTGGCCTGGGCAAGAAGTGGGTGAATTTCTGGTGTCTTTTGGACCTGGCCCCATCTCTGGGGCTGCCATCTTTGTTAAGGGCCACAAAATAGTGTCTCCCAGAGTCCCCATGCTTGTACAGGTTGGAGGAGTAAGTATTATACCAGTTCTCTTCAAACTGTTCTCTGAAGACACATTCAGGAGTGAGCTTCTCCTGTGGAAAAAGAAAAGGCAGGTGAGAATTTGCACTCAGAAAAAAGTAGGTGACATTCCAACTGACTTCCACTGGAAGCTGGCCACAGAATCTCATCAGAGGACCTAAAAATTCCCAGAGATGTGATCTTTCTAGAAATCTCTAGGTCCTCTAGCATGACTGGAGGAAATTAACCATAGATTCACACTAGAGCACCTAGAGATTCCGAGAGATAACATTAGTAGTAAAATCTGTAAATAATCAAATTTGCAACAAAAAAAAGCTTGGAGCACAAGTAATTTTTAAGGTCAACACGCAAAAGGCAAGATTAGCTAGTAAACAGCTTTGCATCGTTTTGTTTTGTTTTTACTAGAGTTTGGAAAGGGTTTTTTTAACTACAACTTCCAGAATTATCCAGCCAGTATGGCGAGTTGACATTAGAGCTGTGCATGTATCCATTCTTTCATTACTTTCATTACCTTTGGGAGCATGTAACAAGAAGCCCTCTCCCAGTATGAAAATCAGCTCAACACAAAAATAAGTGGGAGCCGATCTTGGCTCCTCACCTACTTTTTGAGAGCAGCCTCCTTGCCTTGGAAAGACTGTGTGTATGGTGTGCAGGCCCAGAAAGCATGCACGCCTGCCTACAGGCGAGCACCTGACCTCTACAGTAGAGAAACAGGTAAAATGCCCCCTTAAAGTGCACATCTGCCTGCAGCACCCCAGAGGGAAAAAAAGATACTTGTCCTCCCAATTTCAGGAGATCCCAAAAAACTAATCAGGGCCCCCACCGAAAGCTGGATCATGAAATGGGTCAAGGTTTACCAGGATTGCACAAGCCTAGTTGACATGCTGGCTGGAATATTTAGAAGTTTTTTAGCCCAGAAAGGTGATTTTCCCAGTTCTATGTTCCCTAATCCTATGCTATGGAATCATGGGAATTTTACAAGGTCTTTAGCTTTATGTGCCAAAGACTCGTCAACTACAAGTCCCAGGATTCAATAGCATTGAGTCCTAGCAATTTAAGTGGTTAAACTGCAAATTTGACAGTATAAATACACCCTCAAATTCTCCAATAACAGCCATATGGGATCACTATGTAGAGATCACATTTTATATTATTTCAAGAACCAAATTAGCACTTTCCTATGAAATGGGCAAATAAGTCTGGAGTATCACACAGCTTTCCTTAAAATGATTTGCAAATTTCTAAGAGACTATCATGGGTTAAAGCAGATGGCATAGAAGATATCATAGTAATACTTACAGAGCCATATAGCTCTCCTTTTTCATTCATTCCAAGATAGAGTCCACTGTCCACTCCACGAATGCTGACTAGCCCCACAGCCACACTGATGAATTCAAGGATACCTGCATGGATAGAAAAAACAAAAAGTTCAGTTTTAACTTCTAATTATGCATGTTGCTGTCAAGACTTGTGTGTATAGCTAAAGGCAGAGGAAGTGTATGCTATGTGCAATCTAACCATAACACTCTGAGACAGCGTGAATACCAAAACTACTCAAAAATGCAGCCTTCAGCAACAGCGTTCTGTGTATCAGGCATGACCCAGCCCAAATTAAGCACTTACAACTGCCACTGATTTCAGAATGAGAGCTACACATGTTTGAATCAATGAGGCTTGCAAACTTTGCTTAGATTATGCCATTCCCTGTTAAATAATAACAGTGATCAAATATTTGGATTGTTTGGAAGAAAGCTTTTAATGACTGCTTTGAGGAGAAGAAAAACCTATGCACCCATGGTTTTCTTTGAAAGTGTGTCATTTGATTTTCGATATATGTAATGTTGAACCTCATATATTTCAATTTATATGTTACTTTTCCTCCACATGCAAAGGTTTCAATGAAAAATCATCAGGGAACTGGTGTGCAATGTTAAGTAGCAGCTCAGCCAACTTCTTGACAAAGATCAGACATTCAATCTTTCCGCAGCAAATAAATCATCAGAGATTTTGGAGTTCCCAATATTCAAAGTTCCATTGAAAGACATGGGAGGTATTCTGTTTTTCTGATATCATTTTCAAAGTCGAGGCTCCCCACCCCCTACCAAATCATAATAAGCAGGTGATTCAATCAACAAAGAGACCACATCAGACAAACCTATTGAGAATGGTGATAGAATAAAGAGGCACCAAGAATCTTTGATCTCAATCTCAATTTTTTTTTCCTCCTTTCTTATCCCTCCCCCCTTTTTTGGTAATTATTCTGTGTTTGCATGCTGTGAGAGGCTTCCCTTCTGTGCAGATCTTTCTGTTGAACTAGACCCTTTCGTTCTGAAAACATTGGCAGTTCCAAGGTATTACAGATCAGTTAAGAGCCTTTTGCAGCAGACTGTTTTGACTAAGAGAAACCTCTTTGATTCCCCTTAGTTGGCAGTTCCCAGTTGATTGTCAACAGTTTCAGACTTCTGCATCCTCTCATTGCCATCCTTTACAAATCAAGTAACTTTGATATAGAATCATAGAATCATAGAGTTGGAAGAGACCTCATGGGCCATCCAGTCCAACCCCCTGCCAAGAAGCACGAAAATTGGGTTGTTGTAGGTTTTTTCGGGCTATATGGCCATGTTCTAGGAGCATTCTCTCCTGATGTTTCGCTTGCATCTATGGCAAGCATCCTCAGAGGCAGTGAGGTTCCTCTGAGGTAGTTCCACCTCACTATCTCTGAGGATGCTTGCCATAGATGCAAGCGAAACATCAGGAGAGAATATACCATATAGCCCGAAAAAACCAACAACAACCCAGTGATTCCAGCCATGAAAGCCTTCGACAATAGCATGAAAATTGCAATCAAAGCACCCCCGACAGATGGCCATCCAGCCTCTGTTTAAAAGCTTCCAATGAAGGAGCCTCTACCTTTGGTGGTTAAGTTCTCTTTTTGAGTAGCAAACAAGAGTAATCCTAAGCTATAGTCACATATAGTCACATTCACTGAGGTTAGGGATACAGGACCTCAGTAAAATTTAAAAAAAAACTATGAACAAAGAAGTGCTGATTTTCCCCATGAGAGAACAGCTCTCTAAAAACTTCCAGGTCTTCCAGTACCATTCTATATTGGAGGGTTGAGTGACTCCGAGAGATATATCCTCTCTAGAAATCTCTTGGTCCTCCAGCATGACTGGAGAAAATTGACCATAGAATCACACTGGAGGGCCTTGGGAACAGATCTGTGACTAATCAAATCTGCAAAAGTCATAATCATAAATGTGCAGGGATGTCTGTAATGCACATGAAGGATTGAACAAGTTATTGGACCAATGTACATTAGACGTGGACCTGGGATGCCAGTGTCCTTAACAAAGTGTATTCTAAATGAATTGGACTACAGATTGGCCATGCTGGATGAGGAAGGGAAAACTATGATCCACCATCTTTGTAGGGCGGAAAGTTAGGGGAAATGTGAACACAGATTCCCTGGTTGGTCTTTGTAAAAATCTCTCTTTCTGAGCTTCCATTTCCAACAAGTAGGATGGGTATAGCTTTCCCCAAAGATGGCACCTTCCAAATGTTTTGTAAAAGTGATAGATATTTACAAGAGCCTATACCCTTTCAATGTTTTGAATTCAATTTTCAATCAGTCCCAGCTAACATCACCAGTGTGGCAAGGATTCAGGGCAGTTGAAGTTCAAAACTGCTGAAGAGCACCAAGTGGAGGTAAATTGTCATAACTGAAGTCTAGCTGGGCTGTTGTGAGAACAAGAGAAGTATCAAACTCATTTTATTTCTTGATGACAGAAATGTTTGTCTGAAGGTATGTACAGAACGTGGTGCACTGACTCAATAATCCATGCAAAGCCTATATGGGTGCTATTTCTGCTGCTATTTGTGCATCCTTGGTTCAACTGAATTGCTCTCTTCACAGCAAAGTTTAAAGGGCCTCTCTGCATCCATTTACTTGTACATCATTCTTACTGCATTGCACATGGACCATATTGTGCATATCTACTTAAAAAACTCATATCTACTTAAAAAAACAATAGTGCCCTAGGAATATTGAATGTTTGCCCTTTTGTATGTAAACGCTCTGAATTCCCATGGGGAGTGAGGGTGGTCTATAAATAAAATTATTATTATTATTATTATTATTATTATTATTTAATATAAGAATGAAAAGCTGAAGAATGTCTTCCTTCTTCCTCCACCAGAATAGTATTTACAACTGCAATGTATGTATTTTTAGATTATAGCCTAGCAAGATGTCTACATATGATCGTGTGTACTGAACATGCAGAACAGATTCTAAGGCAAAATTCACTGGGATTCAATGCCCTTCGATCTCAAAGTCCTCTCCAGCAGGAAATAATTACATACTACCTGCATCAAAGACATGGTCCTTCTGGAAACAACATATAACCCCTTGCCGATTGATGCAGATATGATTGTGGCCACCTTTTGTGGCTTCACAGTCAAACCAGAGTCTCCAAGCACATGAAGGAGTAGTTTAATAGATACTCTTGAATTTGGTTGCAACTATCTGCACTGAGCACGTGGACCTATTTTACCCAGACTGTGTCAAACAGACCTTAGGGAGGGTCAAGAAAAGGCACTTGGTAGATGCTATCATCATTCAACACACATCCCAGCCATTTCCAGCAGTCCTGATTAGCTCTGCTTCAGTATTAAACCTTACAAATAGATGCTACTCTACGCCATACTGCTGGTCCCCAATTCCCTCAAATTCCTTTCTGTATCTGCTGCTTATTATCAGGAAATTTGGTTCCACCTGAGTCCCCACTGTATATCTGGCCTGACTTACAGTTGTGTTTGTGTGATCACAGTTTCAAAAAAGAAAAGGAAAAGAAGAAGGTGATTCCGTTGCTATACCATCTGTTGCTATAAGGATTGCTTCATTGCAAGAGGGAGGGAACAGAGTTGCAGTAAAGAACAAGCCTGGAGAAGGGAGGAAGGAGAGAAGGAAGGAGAGAAGGAAAGGTTGAAGGAAGGTAGGTAGGTGGAAAGAACAGAAAGATAGAGGGAAGGAAGCGAAGGGGGCAAAACAGATGCTACATCACCTGTTGCTATAAGGATTGCAGGAGGGAGGGAATAGAGACTGTAGAAAAGAAAAGGCCTGGGGGAGAAGGGAGGGAGCGAGGGAGGGAAGTGAGAAGGAAGGGAAGGGAAGGGAAGTAGAAAGGAAGGAAGAATTGAAGGTAGGTAAGTTGATGAGATGGATAGAAGGTAAAAGGAAGGAAGGAAGGAAGGATTGAATGAAAATAAGTAGGTAGTTAGGTGGGATGGATGGATGGATGGAAATTACAAGGAAGGAAGGAAGGTGGAAGGAAGAGAAACAGATGGGAATGAATAAATGAAGGTAAGTAGGAATGGGAGGGAAGGGGAAGGAAGGAAAAAAGGAAGCTCGGGTAGAAGGAAAGAAGATAGGTAGATTATAATGCATGAATGAGTGAGTGAGTGAGTGAGTGAGTGAGTGAGTGAGTGAGGGAATGAGTGAAGGTAAGTAGGTATGGGAAGGAAGGAAGGGGAAGGGAAGGAAGCTAGGGTGAAAGAAAATAAGATCTGTCGATGGGAATGAATGAATGAAGATAATTGGATATGGGAAGGAATGAACAAAGGAAGCAGAAGGGGAAGCAGAGGAGAAAGGGAAAGGGAAAGGAAATAAGAAAGCTGGGGTGGAAGGATAGACATAGGTAGATGGGAATGGATGCAAGAAGGTAAGTAGATATGTGAAGAAAGCAAGGAAGGGTGGGAGCTGGAATGGAAGAATGAAGACAGGTGGGTGGAATGAATGCAAGAAGGTGGCATGGGAAGGAAGGAAGCAAGCTGGAATGGAAGGAAAGAAGATAGGTGGATGGGAGTAAATGCAAGAAGGTAAATAGATATGAGAAAGAAGAAAGGAATGAGGGTAGTAGGGTAGGTGAGAGGGAAGGGAGGGAGGGAGGGTGGAAAGAAGGAAGAATTGAATGAAGGCAGGTAAGTGGGTGAGATGGATTGAAGTTACAAGAAGGAAATGAAGGTGAGTGGAAAGGAAGGAATAATTGAATGAAGGTAGGTAGATGGGGTGGATGGAAGTTACAAGGAAGGAAGGTGGAAAGGAAGGAAGGAAAGTGGAAAGGAAGGAAGAATTGAATGATGGTAGGTAAGTTGATTGGATGGAAATTACAAGGAAGGAAGGAAGGAAGGAAGGAAGGAAGGAAGGAAGGAAGGAAGAATTGAATGAAGATAGGTAGGTAGTTAGGTGGGATGGATGGAAGTTACAAGGAAGGAAGGAAGGAAGGAGGAAGGAAGGAAGGAAAGGAAGGAAGGAGGAAAGGAAGAATTGAATGAAGATATGTAGGTAGTTAGGTAGGATGGATGGAAGTTACAAGGAAGGAAGGAAGGAAGGAAGGAAGGAAGGAAGGAAGGAAGGAAGGAAGGAAGGAAGGAGGAAAGGAAGAATTGAATGAAGATAGGTAGGTAGTTAGGTGGGATAAATGGAAGTTACAAGGAAGGAAGGAAGGAAGGAAGGAAGGAAGGAAGGAAGGAGGGAAGGAAGGAAGGTTGGAAAGGAAGAATTGAATGAAGATAGGTAGGTAGTTAGGTGGAATGGATGGAAGTTACAAGGAAGGAAGGATGGAAGGAAAGGAGGGAGGGAGGGAGGAGGAAAGGAAGAATTGAATGAAGATAGGTAGGTAGTTAGGTGGGATGGATGGAAGTTACAAGGAAGGAAGGATGGAAGGAAAGGAGGGAGGGAGGGAGGGAGGAGGAAAGGAAGAATTGAATGAAGATAGGTAGGTAGTTAGGTGGGATGGATGGAAGTTACATGGAAGGGAGGGAGGGAGGGAGGGTTGGAAGGTGGAAGGAAGATAAATAGATGGGAATGAATAAATGATGGTAAGGAGAAATGGGAGGGAAGGAGAAAGGAGAAAGAAAGGAAAAAAGGAAGCTGGGGTGGAAGGAAAGAAGATAGGTAGATGAGAATGAATGAAGGAAGTAGGAAGGAAGGAGAGAGCTTTGCTTCTTCCTCCTCCTTCTTACCGAAGAGACTGTGGTCCTGGCGGGTGCCTTGGACGCTTCCGTCGGGCAGGATCTGGAGGTGGAAGCCAGTCCGGCAGTAGAGTTGCCTCCTCCGGAGGATGCCTTGCAAATGGGCCAGCTCGGCGGGGCCCTGGAGTCCCCCCCGGGAGCCCCTCTCGGCCTGGTTCAGGCGGTCGCCCAGCAGCAGGGGCGGCCTCTCCCCGGCCGGGGGCAGCAGGAAGTGGGAGCCCACCGTCTGGCTCAAGCCCTCCAGGCCGCCGCCGAGGAAGCCGCCCAGGTGGGCCAGGGGAGCCATGTGGGGCGTCGTAGGGGGGCTGGGAGGAGGAGGAGACCCTCTGACTAGGGCCGGGGAGCTTTCCCGGGTGTCAAGGCAACCGCTGCCTGCCTGGGGAGCCTCTTCTCTCGAAGGGCATGGAGCTGGCAGAGGCGGGTGGAGACAGGTGCCAACATGGAAAGGCGAAAGGGCTGGAGGTGCCGTCGAGGGTCCCTTGGAGCAGGCAGGGAAACAGTCCCAACGGGGGAAGCCTCTCCCTATATATAGACTGAGCTGGCTCCGTGGGGCAGGTTCACCCCCGGCAGCCCACCCTTCCACATATGCTAATCCACGACGGCCTTTGAAACCTTAAACCTCACACCTTCTCCCTCCTCTTTCTCCTTGACGGAGGGGAGTTCCCGACGTGTTCCCCTTCAGTCCCACCAAGCACGCAGCTCTCCCAGCCTTTGGAAGCAGCCCTTCCCTTGCTATCCCTCCCTCTTTGCAGCCACAAGCTGAGCAAAACCCCAAAGGATGCCAAGGAAAGGATCCTTGGGAAGTCTTCTTTGGCCAGTGGCACAAAGGAGAGCCCACTTTGGACACGGGGAGGGGATGGAGGAGGAGGAGGAGGAGATGGAAGAGGAGGAGGAGGAGGAGGAAGGTTACAGGTGCAAAAGGAAAGGGGAGGGAGAGGGAGAAAGGGCGTTCCCGGAGGGGGAGACCTGCCCAGACACACATGAAAGAGGGAGGCAAGGGAGGGAGGGAGGAGGGGGAGAGCAAGCCCGAGATCTAACAGTCCCACTCCTCGCCTTTCAGAAGGCTCATAAAAGGACTCGGTGTCTTCCCTTCTCCGCCTTTTATCGCCTCACCTTTCCAACAAGAAAAAGCAGATGAGGGGGGAGTGTGTATGTGTATGTGTTTGGAAGCAGAGGGGGATTTTTCCAAATGAATTAGCAGCTGGAGTTTCCCCTTTCTTTCAAGTGATTTTAAAAAAAATTAAACATTATATAGATATGGATATATAGATATATCAATAACAACAATATTTATTATGGCCCATAGAGCCATCAGGGAACAAACAATACATTCTCCCACCTCACTGTTCAAAATGAATATGCACGGTTTCAAGTAATACCCAATAATAATAATTATAATAATAATAATAACTAGCCGTTCCCTGCCATACGATGATGTGTCCCAGTCTGTGTATGTGTTCTGTGTGTGTGTATATTTGTGTATATGTGTAAATATATGTGTGTGTTTGGTCCACGCTCTGGTTACATCCCGAATAGATTACTGCAATGCGCTCTATGTGGGGCTGCCTTTGAAGACAGTTCGGAAACTTCAGCTAGTCTAACGGGCGGCAGCCAGATTACTAACTGGGGCGGCATACAGGGAGCATACCACCCCATACCACTCCATAGGCTGCCGGTCCAGCTCCGAGGCCCATTTCAAAGTGCTGGTTTTGACCTATAAAGCTCTATACGGTTCTGGCCCAGCTTACTTGTCCAAACGCATCTACCCCTATGTCCCACCTCGTAATCTAAGATCATCCGGGGAGGCCCTGCTCTCACTCCTGTCAACAGTGCAAATGCGCCTGGCGGGGACGAGAGACAGGGCCTTCTCGGCTATGGCCCCCCGCCTATGGAACACTCTCACAAATGAGTTAAGATCCGCTCCCTCCCTCTTGGCTTTTAGGAAAAAATTAAAAACATGGTTTTGGGACCAGGCCTTTGGGCAATAGAAACAAATCTATGCAGCATTTCGGAAAGACAATGACTGGCACAGTGATTCGACAGACGAGACTGTTTTACTGTTTTAATTATTGTTTTACTGTTTATGGATGTATTTTAATTTGATTTATGTCTAACTGTAATTGTATAATTGTAATTGTTTGTGCTGGCATTGAATTTTTCCATTACCTATGTGGAAACGGCTTTGAGTCCTCTTTGGGGTGAGAAAAGCGGTATACAAATGTTGTAAATAAATAAATAAAATAAATATATATGTGTTTTTGCACATGTGTTGTAATTTTGGGGGTTATTTTGCTTTTTAAGTCTCTTCTGCTGTGTTTTTCAGTGATTTTATAAGTGATGGTCACTTGTTGGCCTGTTAGGTGTACTGTGTCCAAATTTGATGTCAATTTGTCCAGTGGTTTTTGAGTTATGTTAATCCCACAAACTAGCATAACATTTTTATTTATATAGACTAGTCGTCCCCTGCCACGCATTGCTGTGGTCTAGTCTGGTGATCTGGAAAATAAAGTAATAAGAAAGTGTTGGTTTCTAATATATGTAATTTCTTTATGCTTGTGGGTAAACAGTATTTGATTACGTTTTCTTGCCCTGGTAAAGGGAGTTGGACTGGATGGACTTAAGTATTTTATATTGGTCCTGGGGGTTCTGTGTGGGAAGTTTGCCCCAATTCTATCATTTGTGGGGTACAGGATGCTCTTTGGTTGTAGATGAACTATTAATCCCAGTAACTACAACTCCCAAATGTCAAGGCGTATTTCCCCCAAAACTCCATCTGTGTGCCTAGTTGGGCATATGACATATTTGTGCCAAGTGTGGTCCAGATCCATCATTGTTTGAGTCCACAAATGCTCTCTGGATGTAGGTGTACTACAACTCCCAAACTCAATGTCAATGCCCACAAAACCCTTCTAGTGTTTTCTGTTGGTCATGGGAGTCCTGTGTGCCATGTTTGGTTCAATTCCATCATTGGTGGAGTTCAGAATGCTCTTTGATTGTAGGTTAATTATAAATCCCAGCAACTACAACTCCCAACTGACAAACTCATTTTTTGTGTGTGTGTGATGGTCACTCCTTGGGTTAGTAGGTGTCCTGTGGCCAAATTTGGTGGCAATCCGTCCAGTGGTTTTTGAGTTATGTTATTCCCACAAATGAACATTACATTTTTATTTATATAGATAATATAATAATAATAATAATAATAATAATAATAGCCCAAGAACAAGCCATTAGTACCAATGCCATCAAAGCCAGAATTGAAAAGTGGAAACAATTGTGGAAAAGGAAAAGAAAAAAGTCTGGATTATTGATGTCACCATACCAGGTGATAGTCACATTGAGGAAAAACAACAGGAAAAACTCAGCCACTATCAAGACCTCAAAATCAAACTGCAAAGGCTCTAGCATAAACCAGTACTGGTGGTCCCAGTGGTCATTGGCGCACTAGGTGCTGTGCCAAAAGATCTCAACCGGCATTTGGAAACATTTGGAAACATCAACAAAATCACAATCTGTCAACTGCAAAAGGCCACCTTACTTGGATCTGCACGCATCATTCGAAAATACATCACACAGTCCTAGAACTTTGGGAAGTGTTCAACTTGTGATTTTGTGATACGAAATCCAGCATATATATCTCGTTTGCTGTGACATACTGTGCTTTTGTGTCAATAATAATAATAGCCCAAGAACAAGCCGTTAGTACCAATGCCATCAAAGCCAGAATTGAAAAGTCAATGACAGATCCCAAGTGTAGACTCTGCAAGGAAGCAGATGAAAGAATAGATCAAATCCTCAGCTCCTGCAAGATTGCGTAGGCAGACTACAAGCAGAGGCATAACACCATTGCTCCGATGATTCATTGGAACTTGTGCCACAAATATCATCTGCCTGCGACAAAGAACTGGTGGGATCACAAGCCGGAAAAAGTTACAGAAAATGAACACATCAAGCTACTCTGGGACTTCTGGATTCAGACAGACAGAGTTTTGGAGCACAATACTCCTGACCTCACAATCGTTTTAAAAAACAAAGTATGGATTATCAATGTTGCATTCTCAGGTGACAACAGGATTGAAGAGAAACAACTGGAAGAGCTGACACAATATGAGGATTTAAAGATCGAACTGCAAAGACTCTGGCACAAGCCAGTCAAGGTGGTCCCAGTGGTGATCGGCACACTGGGTGCAGTGCCTAAAGACCTTGGCCTGCACTTAAACACAATTGGCACTGACAACATTACCATCTGCCAGCTGCAGAAGGCCACCTTACTGGGATCTGCACGCATTATTCACCAATACATTACACAGTTCTAGACAGTTGGGAAGTGTCCAACGTGTGATCCAATTCAACAGCCAGCAGAGTGATCTTGTCTGCTGTGGACTCATTTTGTTGTGTTTCTAATAATAATAATTATTATTATTATTATTTATATTCTGCCCTTCTCACCCTGAAGGGGACTCAGGGTGGATCACAGTACACAGTACACAGTACACAGCAAACATTAAATGTCGCTTTGTATAGACAATACACAGACAGAACAGAAAGAGGTGGTTTGTTTCGACTCGGTGTCCAGCTGTTTTTGGTGCCATGAAAAGTTGGGCTCAAGTGCAGTCCAGGGGGTGCTATTGCTCTATCCTCTATGATGAAGAGCTGTCAGGACTTCCTCCTTCCTTTTGGTCGCCCAAAACACCTCCCCCGCTTTTAGCGGTACCTAATTTTTCTAATTACAACTAAAGCTGTTTTTTAATTGCTTAGGTAAACAATGGGCTAGGCTGACAGCCAGCAGCTCATGCTGACCCAGGGCTTTGAACTTGCAACCTTTCGGTTGATAGATCATATAATTGCTGGTGATTTACCAGCTGTGCTAAACCTCCAGCCCTATCCTAGGTATAATAATAATAATAATAATAATAATAATAATAATAATAATAATAATAAGGCTCAAGACAAGTAACAAATAATATATGTATTCATTTAAAAAAATTTACCATTTTAATTATAAGTTTGTTGCTTATTCATTTTGTGGCTTCAGACTTTTTGTGACCTCATGGATCAGCCCACCTCTCCTCAAGGATCAAGGCAGATAATAAATAAAATGTATAATTATTATAGTTGTTATCACACTACGTAACAAATTTGAATAATTTTCTGTTCCTGGTTTGAAAGTATTATTTCCTGTTTCATTGTGCAGTACTTACTTTGAAAGCAGTTGTTTATACTCCAAAAACTTCATTTTTGTGGCTGCCACACACTTTGTTGATTTGGTTGCGACTTCATGGAATGTTCCTTGAAAACAACAACAACAACAACAACAACAACAACATTTTATTTATATTCTGCTCTTCTCCCTGTGGGGACTCAGTGCAGATTATAGTATAAACAGATAATTGCAAACATTCAGTGCCTT